GAAGGCATATTTCTATTATAAAAAGTAAAAAAAATCAGTTTATTTTTGAAAAGTTGACTAAAATACAGCTTTTTCTTTGTTTAATTTTGATAGTTAAAGGCAAAAATTGACTTCTTCCAGTTTTTTTTTATTTTTTTTTTAATTCTCCTCTTTTATCTTTTTTATATTTTTTTATTATTTCTCTATTTTTTTATTTATTTTGTTTTATTTTCATTTTTAATTCCTCCCTTTCCCGCTTATCTTTTTGTTATTTTTTTTATTTTTTTTATTATATTTCCTTCCTTCCTTTTTTTTTTTATTTTTTTATTTAATTTTTTAATTAAAATTTTTTTTTATTTTAATATTTTATTTTTTGTTTTTTAATTATTTCTATTATTTGTTTAATTTTTAATTTTTTTTTAAAAATTTACAAGTTAATTTAATTATGATTCAAAATTTGATTTGAGTTTAACTTGACTTGAATAAATTCAAGTCAAAATCAAGTCAAGTCAAATTAAGTCAAGTTTAAAATTTATATAACTCAAATCAAGTTAAGTTGAAAGATTTTATAAAATAAATTTGATTCAATTTAACTTAAAAAAAATGAGTTGAATAGAGTTAATCTTTAAACTTGACTCAACTTGACTCATTAGAACTCTAGTTAAAATATGAAAGAATAGTTATATATTATCTATTATTTATTAGAAACAATCAAGCTTTCTCTTTTATTTGTATAAATAAATAAGTATTAAAAATATATATTAATATATAATTTTAAATTTCAATCTCTCTTTATATATATATATATAAATAACATATAGCAAAAAAAATCCTTATTAGCTAAATTTTGAATTATTTTATTTTTTACCTAATTACTTTAATAATTTATAAACAGAAAGTATACTTTAGAAATTTTTTTATTGTAATTATTGTGAATTTATCCTTATAGTTGTAAATCTATTTAAAAATAGATGATCATCTTTTTTATATAAATTTAATATGAGCTGATCATTTTGAAAATCAATTAATCAAGCTTAAATCTACTATGCTATCTTAAGTTATTATAAAATATATAGTATTTTAATAACTAAAAAAGTTTTCATAATTATTTTCAAATTTCAATTAACTTGTAACTTAATTGTACAATAAAAAAATTTAATTACATCACTAGTTATAACTCAATTATATCATTTTTTTTATTACGATACTTATCTTTACTAACAACATTAAGAAACAAAGAATTTTTACATTTTATCAATATATAATTAATTAAATATATTAATTTTAGTAATATAATCTATATTTAAAAATATTGACAGTCACAGAGTGTTACGCCTACATAAATTAATCATAGAATTATAAAATATTATATAAATTAAAAAAGCAATTTTGTCTTCTAGTAAAATTCGAATTTAAGTCTCAAAATCAGTTACATAAAATTCTCTTTTTAGATAATTGTGTAATATCATATGATTTACAAGAAATTATATTTTTATAATGAAACAATTGTGCTTAAAATCATTGATTATTAATATAGAACACTGATATCTAAAGTGTAATCAACTATTGACATAAACAATAAATGTTTACTAGTAATTATATAAAAAATATAGTTAAATATATTTTTTATTTACTTTATATAAGTTTATTAAGAAATTTTTTAAATAATTCTATTTTTAAAATTACTTTTAAAAAATTATCTTTTAAAATTTCTTTAAATTTATAAATTTGTAAATTTATTAAATTACTTAATTATTAATAAAAGTTATAAAAATTTTTAATAAATTATAAAAATTATAATAATAAAGTTATTTTTTATAATAAATTTTATAATATTCTATTATAATTAATATTATTAAAAATAAATATTAATAAGATTATCAAAGATCAATAATAAAACTTTTTAAAAATTACAATGTTTAATTTATTATATAATAAAAAATAAAATTTATAATTCTATTTATATATAAAATATAATTATTTTACTATAAAAAATATTATGCTTCTTTACTAATCAGGTTTTAGATTTTTTGAGATTTGATATCAAACTTTTAGATATGTTACTAAATAATCAATTAAATAATTTATATTAAATTTAAAAATTTTTAGAAATTAAACTAAAGTATTATTTAGGTAAAATAATAATATATATTTATAAATTAATTTAAAGAAATTTTTTATAAAAATAAATTAAAAGAAAATTTATAGTAAATAAGTAAATAAATTTGCTTGCAAACTTAATATATAAAATTTAATCTAAAAATTATATATATTATTACAGTCAGTTTTTTAAAATGCTTAAATATGATAAGTGAGCAATATTTATAAGTGGTAAGCAGAAGGTTTATTTAGTAATTTAGTTTTAGAAGAGTATCAATTGGTTGACGGTTTATTTAATAACTATAATAATAAAGTACTACTTCAGTTGACACTCTGTATTATACACTTATGTTAAGAGAATTAAACTAAACTATCTTATAAAACTACTTATCGAATACACTGCTAAACTAAAAAAAAATGTCTTCTATTTATATAAAATGAAATACATAGTTATTGAAGATATAAAAGAAATGTATAATATAAATAAAATATAATAAATATATGAAATAAATTAAATAAAATAAATAGAAGAAATATATTGTATAAAAGAAATATATGCTATAAATAATATAGAAAACGTATAAGATATATATGATTTTCTAAAAATTAACATCATTTTTTTGATTATCATCTATGTCTTCTTCTATATAATAATATTAATTAAATAAATTTATTTTTAAAATAAGAAAATCATTAATTTTTTATATAAATTTACCTTTTTATATATTATATTTATTTTAGTATAATTTGTATACATTTCATATTATTTAATATATATATATTAAAAATAATGTACACATATATATATTATATATATTAATTTTATATACTATATAAATCTTTATCCTTTAAACTGTAAAGGTTTGCAGACAAATTTGCCTTCTTATTTACTATAAATTTCCTTCTAATTTACTTTTATAAAAAATTAAAATTTAAAAAATTTTTTTTTAAATTAATTTTATAAATATATATAAAATTATAATAAATTTTATTTTTTAATCATATAATAAATAATTTAAGATTACTTATAAGCTAAAAATTACAAATTAAAAAATTTTATCATTAAACTTTGACTATTTTATTAATATTTTACTTTTAGCAATATTAATTATAATAGAATATTATAAAATTTATCATGAAAAATAATTTTAATTATTACAAATTTTATAATTTACTAAGAAATTTTATGACTTTTATTATAGTAAATAATTTAATTAGTTTGCAAATATATGAATTTTAAGAAATTTTTAAAAAATTATTATAATAAATTTTTTAAAACTTAATTTTAAAAATTGAATTATTTAAAAAACTTTTTAATAAACTTAAAATTTCTTCTAATAAAGTTGATAAAATATATATTAAATTATATTATTAATATTTTATTTTTTATTAAAAAATGAATACTTTTTTTTTTATGTTTGCAGAAAAATTTGCTTATTCTATAGTTTAAGAAATAATTTAAGGATAAAAGTTATATTTATTATATAAATGTTTTGTAAAAGAAAGGAAAAAATCTACTAAAAAAATTTTTTTACTTTATAAACTAAATATTATTTTTTAATAAAATAAATTTAGATTTAATATCAACTCAAAAAAAAATTTTTTAATAGTTTTCTTTCTTTTTATTATAAATTACTTATAAATTTCTTATATTAATTTTTTTTTAAATTTAAGTAGTAATTTTAATATAATATCTAATATGGGACATACTGCAACAAAATCAGACAAAATGAATATTGGTATTACCAAAAATTTCAAGGTTCAAATGAAGAAATTATTGATTACTAAAAATAGAGTTGCATGCAAATTTTGGCCATTTTTATTTTTAAATCAAAATAATGTAATAAAAGTCATACATATTTTATATTTCAAGAAAATTCTTTCGCTTTTAGCATTTTTTCAATTTCAAAAATTAATTTTAACTAATTTATTATCATTATTATTAATTTTATTATATTATTATGTTATAATTATTATATCATAATTATCAGATGATGTCAAAATTATTAATATTATAATAATTTGTAAGAATATATGTCATTACGATGACTTTTAATAAAAGCAATCTATAGATTTTGGTCATTACAATATAATAATAATACTATTGATAATAAGCAATAGCAATAATGAAAGTTGAATTTTTGTCAGAGTATCCAAAAAATAGGTAATACTTACAAATGGCTTTGAGTCTAAGCATTTTCCTCCTATACAAGTGCTCTAACAATTTTTTTAACTTATATTTTTATAAATTATTTATGTATTTTTCTATTATTAGTTGAATTAAAATAAAATAATTGTTTAAATTCTAAGTCATGTATCCACTAATTTATTATTAGTCTAAATTATTAGTCTGAAGTGTAACAAAGGACTATATACTTCTATGTAAGGTAGTCACAAATAAGATTACGTGACGAAGTTTGATTGTTTGCATGTGTGATTTTTGATTGGTTGATTTTGTATTCGCATATTTATATGAAATAAAAAAACTCCAGACTTTACAACAGTTTCTGTTTCCTAGTTTATTATAAATAGAAAAAGTAGAGAACGAGCATAAGAAGGCAGAGAAGAAGTTAGAGGAATTTAAAAAGAAGTAGAAAGAGGAGAAAATATGGAAGTTGAAAAAGAAGTTGGATGATAGAGGAGAAAGAAATGAGAAACAGAGAAAAGGGTGGGAAAGATTAAGAAATAGGTTGTTAAAAGAGAAGGAAAGATTGGAAAAGAAGGAGGAGAATTAGGGAGGACAAGTACGAAAGTTGCAAGATGCACTGATAGATTTGAGTAAAAAAGAAGAAGGTAATGAACAAATTGTGTAAAAAATATACAAAAAATTATTTTTCATTCATTCCATTTCATTTATTTATTTATTCATTTGAGAGAACATTAATTAACTTATGCTTTTATGAATATACAGTAGTAGAAAAATGTAAGGCAGAAGAAGAACTTCTTGATAGTATTGAAAGAGAAAAGAAATTATCCACAGCTCTATCCAATCTTGGGAATGCATCAGAATATATTGCAATACAAAGACAAAAACTGTTATATAATGGTTATTCAAAATTACTTCAACCTTCTCCACTTGTTCTCTACCACCCTGTGTTTACAAGTTTTGTGAATGACTGTGAAACAATTGATTTAGAATTTAATTCTCATATTATGATGACACAATTTATTGAAGGAATGACTGATACTTACAATATTGAAGTTGATTGACGAGACAAATTTTATAAACTTTGCAAGAAATGGTTAGATTTTAAATTAGTTTTGGGATTAATATCTATACTTGGTAGAAATTACTTCACAGATGGCTGTATCTTTCAAAAAAATTTTATGCCTGTTATTCTTGAGGTTAAGAATGATAATGCTGATAATGCATTTAAACAAGCTTGTAAATATTATTGGAGATTGATCCAAAGCTTAGAAGAAGGTTATACACAAAAAACACATTTGTCATGTCTTCTTTTATGTCTAAATAGTCAGTATTAATAAGTTATTATGCATATACATTTGGGTTTATATTTTGACTAATTTTACTTTTTTCCTTTTATCAGCATCTCACCTTAGGATTGCTAATGCTTTTTATAATAGAAATTATTTAATTGAAGGCCTAACAAAAATTTCATTAGACTGCTTTAAATCTATAGAACCAAAGAGAATACAAATAATTGGAAGGATATTGCTTGCTCTTAAAAAAGCTGTTCAGTTGTTAAAAGAATAATATGCTTCTTTCATTCAGACTGTACCATTGAAATTCCCTTATATTACTTTATTTAAGTTACTTGATGATGAATGTGAAATGTCATTTAAATATGAAGAAAAGTTAACTGAAAATAAATTTGTATATGTTGTTGAAACAATAAATAATGATTGCAGTGATATTCCAAAATTGTTAGTTGTAAAGTTTGTTACAAGTTATGGGTTGGATGTGTATAAATCTTATGCAGATAAAGATATTGCTTCAAAGGTCTATGGATATAAGAACATTAATTGTGATTGGAAAATAGTGACAATGGAATATCTTTCAGATTATAAACTATTGATAGATCTTTCACTTGAAACAAATCAAAAAATAGAACTTCAGAAGAAAATCAAGAATGCAGTTCAGAAGATGCATAGTGAAAGATTGATTTATGATGATTTATGGGAATGTAATATTCTTTATAAGAAGAAAGAAGAAAAAAATGGAGATGGTAACATACAAGTAAAAATTATAGATTTTAATTGGGGAGAAAAAGAAGAAGTAGTAAGATACCCACCACGTCTTAATCCTATTATTTCATGGCCTTTAGATATTAAAATCAATCAACCAATCAAATAAATACATGATAGTGATCTTCTTGAGTTGATAATTGAAAAGTATTTAAAAGCGTGATATTTATGATAGTTATATAAATTCAATGGAAGGATTGAATAACTGCAAATAGTGAATATAGCTTTTAATATTTACAAACATTTCTTTATTAATTTCAGTATAGTTATATAATATATTTATAATTTAAATATAATTCTATTATGGTATAGTGCTTTTTATTAAACAATTTTAAGATAATTAGGATTCAATGAAACAGATGAAATTTTATTTTATTTTTTATCTTGAATTATATAATTAGTCTATTACAATTAAATATAAATAAAATATAATAAATTTTCCTGACTTATGAGTTTTCTTTATTTTAGTCTATAAAAATTTGCACTTTTATATTCATGTAACTAATTTTCAATTTCCTGCATAAAAAAAAACCTACAAGTAAATATAAAATTATATATATAGGGGATAAGTGTATATGAAAAGTAATAATAAATATTATAATGGTTCTAATGAATATCAAAAAGCAATTGATTTTTTAGAAAAAGGATGTAATTGTGGTTGTTTTTCCAGAATTCCCAAGAACAATTTGCAGAATTAAGAGAATCTTTTCAAGCCTTTACTAAATCAGAACAAAACATATTTTTAATAAAATCAGAACAAAACATATTTTTAATAGCACAGATTAAAGCAATAGATGGTAAATCAATAAGCATTAGCAGACGCTTTAAAAAGAAAAACAGATCAAATAAAAAAACTTTCTACCACTAGGATCATAATACATTCCTTTATCAAGAAACTTATCTCAATATGCTAGACATTGGCAGGACTTACTTTGAAAATATCAGAAATCACTTGATAAACAATGGTCTTCTAGCAAAAATTCATGGTAATATTAAAAGAATACCTTGATGGAAAGCTAAAATGGTGATTGATAAAAGTGTTGCAGAGGTAGTAAAGAATTTTTTAGAAAATTATGCAGATGTTCATGGCTTGCCAAGTCCAAAAAGAAGTATCAATAGAGTAACCTAATCAGTTATCTTTTTATCAGCTGAAATGACTTATAAATTAGTGTACAGAGATTTTCTGGCAGGTTTAGAAAAGGTAGTAATTTGAAATCCTTAAAATATGATGCTTTTAAAAAGTTATGACATCAATTGACATCAGAAATTCAAATTATGAGTCTAAGGATTGACTTGTGTAATACTTGTTAACTTTTTAGAGATGGTTTACATTATAATGCTTACCAAGAAAAAGAAGCCAAATATTACTTAAAAAATTTAAAGAGCATCTGTCTAAGACAAAATTAGAAAGAAATTATTATAATAAAAATACCAAATTAGCAGAAGAACAAGGAAAATTGGTGAATCAACATTATTCAAAAGGTAAAACACAATATTGCAGTATTGATGCTACTGCTCATCATAGTTATGATTGAGCCCAAAATGTTCATATGTTCCATTCAGATCAACAGGTAAGTAGGATTTATTATCTTAGTTCACGTAAAGTCTATTTATTTAATATTTAAGATAAAGCAGTAAGGGAACAAATTAATTATGTTCTGGATCAAAATAAAATTATAGGTAAAGATCCCAATGGTATACTTAGTATGATTTTTGATAGAATTAAGAAATTAAATAAAGGTAAAAAATATTTAAAGATCACTTGTGATAATGCTAAAAGACAGAATAAAAATAATATCACTATTTGATTTTATTTATATTTGGTAATTTGTGGTTATTATGAAAGTGTTAAATTAAATTTTGTGATTCTTGGACATACTAAATTCAAATGTGATAGTAATTTTAGCATGATCAAAAACCTTTATAGAAGAATAAGAGTAGATTGTCTAGACCATGTAATTGAAGTGGTAAAAAAGTCTAGTCTAGTAGAATTGAATAAAGTCCAATATTATGAAGTTGAAAAAGGTTTTCAATACTTAGATATTAAAGAAATTTTGGAAATTTATTTTAAGAAATTACCAAATATCCAGAAATATCAACATTTTCTTTTTGAAGTAACTAATCTTAATATGATCAAAGCTCAGGAAATTGCTAATGGTCTCTTTGTTAAATTTGATTTATTAAAAATCAAGAAAGCAGATATTTTTGAAGAAATTAGAGCTTTATCTATTTTAGTATTAACATCTTCTCCTTTAGACTATAAAAGACAAGAATACTTTTATAATAACATTTGCCCATTTATAAAGGATGAGTTTAAAGATATCACTTATTCCAAGCCAGCATAAAATGTAATTGAATAATTTTTATACTAGATAAAAAAGGTTAGATGTCATAATTAACTTTTATTTTTCCTAATTTTAATTATTTTGATAACTAAAACAACTTGCAAATATTTTATTAAAGTGTAGATTTAAAATATGAGAAAAGAAAATATTCAAGGATTAATACTTTAACTAGCATGATATTACATTACAAA